AAAAAAAAAAAAAAAAAAAAAAAAAAGAAATCCTATTATTGTTAAGGCTGGGCTATAGTAATATAAGTGGCAATTTATTGCATTTGCATAGTTGTCATCTTGCTCCCTTGCCTGTTTTATTTTTTATTTTATTTTTTAATGTTTATTTATTTTTGAGAGAGAGACAGAGTGCAAGCAGGGGAGGGGCCGACAGAGAGGGAGACACAGGATCTGAAGCAGGCTCAGGCTCTGAGCTATTAGCACAAAGCTCCATGTGGGGCTCAACCTCAAAAACAATGAGATCATGACCTGAACTAAAGTCAGACACTTAACCAACTGAGCCACCAGGTGCCCCGCTACCTTGCCTGTTTTAAAATAAAGTAGATGTCAGAATACTTTAGCCTGAGAAATATATTTTTATTTAGTGCTCATTTGTTGTAGACTCTTCACTACTTTCAGCCTAAGCCCCACCTCATACTGTCAGTGCATGGAGAATGATTCTGTCTAGTCTTGTAGGAAGAGGAGGTTTGGGGTGAGGGAGACTGGTGTCTGAGAACTTATTTCTATTACTACTATAAAAATCCAAATAATCTACATCTGAATCACATGCTCAAACAGAAAAGGGGAGATAGGGAATAAGAAGCATTAGAAATCACCAGCTCTTCTCCATGTCTGACCACACCAGTCCATCAGTTGGCTCTTTTCTTTATATCCTTGCAGGTGGTGAGGATCCTGGGAAATTGAACCATGCCATGTTAAAGAATGGCCATACCACCCCCATAGGGAGTGCCACATCTTCTAGTCCAGTCCAAGCAGAGGAAGAGTCAGGAAGAATAGCAGGTCTCAGGAAACCGGTTCCAGAAGAGGAACCAAAGAAGCGACTAGGTAAGAAACTCTTGATTTTTGAGTGTAAGAGCCACGATCATTCTTGTCTTAACTCAGGGTTTTGCTAGAGCCATGGGAGAAATAAAATCCAGAGGGAATTCTGTGTTCCTCTAGCAATTCCTCAACTAGTTGCAGTTTTAAGTGGAATTTTCCTTTTCTCATTCTCGCATTCACAAAATAGCTAATTTGTAATTCTCAAGGACGGAAGGGGATGTTAAGCATCAGATACCAGTAGGACTTTTTTGCGCTACACTTTCCTCCTCCTGCACCCACGGGATTCTATGCCTCCTCTGGTTGCCTGGCTCTTGTGTGAAGAATCACTACCATACAGGCCTCTCTTACTTTGAGATTGTGATTGAGAAAGTGTCCTATACCTTAAGTATGTGGAGGTTGGGAAACTTTGCCTGTAAACTCATCGACACATCAAATAATGGATGTAGTTGACCATAAGTCTACAGATGCGTTAGCTTTTTTCAGTCTATCTTGTTACTCTTTTTTCCCTTTTAAATCGTATCTGTCACTATTACACAGGCTCAACCGGAAGCCAGCCTAATTCCGAAGCAGAGTCCGTTCCTGAGAATGCATCCAAACAGCCTTTACTTCCCCCTAAAAGGCCCTTGTCCTCTTCTCACGAAGCAAATGAAGGGCAAGCCAAGGATGCCACTTCCTCTGGCGGCGCAGCAAGATCCATCTCCTCCACCTCCACTGCCGCCTCCACCTCAGCACCTGCCGCTGCCACTGCTGCCACCAAGCCAGCAAAAACTGTTAGTTCCTCTGTGCCCCCCTCCCCAGCACCCAGGACTCTGCCTGCCGCTCCTGCCAGCATTAACACTACTGCTACCCCGAGCCTCACTCATGCGGTCTCTGCCAAGCAGCCCCCTATCCCTCCCCCTAAACCAACTCACAGAAATAGCAACCCCGTCATTGGTAAGTAGAAGTCTTTAGGTTGCCAATGCTTTGAGTTTGGTTTGGTTTGAGTTTGGATGGTTGTTTTATTGGAAAACTGGTACAATACTGATTTGGTCTCAGAGAGTTCTCCATCTCGTGTCCCTTTGGATGCCCTCATTATGGAGAAAAGTCTTGAGAATGAGGCAGACAGCTAGGAATGAAAACAGACAGGGAACAGATATCACTAAAATTCAGTTCCAGCTGGTCGGGAGTGGTGGGGAATATCTATTATCCTAAACCAATGTTTCTGAAATACTGTTTAGAGTTGGGGGACTGGACATGTGAAGACCACAACAGGTTCTGACCTGCATAGAGAAAAGGGGTTTCTGGGTTTTTTTTAACCTACTTTAAACCACCAGTGTCCCCTTTTAGCATGAGCCCAATGGATAAACTTGTGTTTATATAGATGCTTGTGTAATTTAAGATTCAGTATCTGGCATAATACCTTGATGCAAACTGCAAAAGATATTATTCAAAGTGTCCTGATAAGATCATGTTTTTATCTTGGGAAGAGTCAAGAATGCTACTCAAAAAAAAAAAAAAAAAAAAAAAAAAAAAAAAAAAAAAAAAAAAAAAAAAAAAAAAAAAAAAAAAAAAAAAAAAGAATGCTACTCTTAATAAAATAAGTAGTAGAAGAAAGAAAACTGGGAAGATAACCAGTACACTTTTATCAGTTCAGTAAATTTTTTAAAGTTTATTATTATTTTGGGGCTCCTGGGTGCCTCAGTCGGTTAAGCGTCCGACTTCGGCTCAGGTCATGATCTCACAGTTTGTGGGTTCAAGCCCCGCATCTGGCTCTGTGCTGACAGTCAGCTCAAAGCCTGGAGCATGTTTCAGATTCTGTATCTCCCTCTTTCTCTCTGACCCTGCCCTGCTCACGCTGTGTCTCTCTCTCTCTCATAAATAAATAAAACATTAAAAATTTAAAAAATAATAATAAAGTTTATTATTATTTCGAGAGAGAAAGAACTGGAGAGGGGCAGAGAGAGAAGGAGGGAGAATCCCAAGCAGGCTCCACGCTGTCAGCACAGAGCTCAAAACAGGGCTGTCTCACAAATTGTGAGATCAAGACCTGAGCCGAAATCAAGAGTCAGATGCTTAACCTACTGAGCCACCCAGGCGCCCAGTTTAGTAAATTTTTTTATTTTCACCTAAAGTCCTGTGTAGGTCTGCTTTTCTTTACATAAATACAGACTCTCTTAGAGGAAATTATGAGAAGGGGGGAGAGGAAGGAAGGTACTTTTTTTTTCCCCAGGAAAAATGATACAAGGCTTAGTACTGCTTGAAGTTCTTGTTCATGATTGAAGGGAGGAATAAAGTACACTCGTTAAACAGTTAATACGCCAGCTTGTGTGGGTTGATGAGAACCCTGAAAAACAGGCTTAGAATTCATTGAGTTTGACAGGTTGGAGTAGCTTGATTACAAAAAGGATGGCGGTTATTATTGTTACCACCACCCTAGATGGACAGTCTGTGTTGACTTATCTCTGAGGAACCTGAGCTGCTTTCATATGCTTGCTGTCAGAGCCTCCTTGTGAAGGAGGAAGCTGATTTTATCTATTATATGGTTAGGGCAATTACAACGTGAAGAAGTTGTGACTCACTCAAGGTTGTAGTTAATGAGAGATAGAAACCAGACATAGGCTTTTCAGCTCTTGAGCCCCAGCTTCTGTCCTGTACACCGATATTCTCGAACTGCTGTCTAGACAAGCTCTCACCTCGATCACCTGGAGGACTTGTTGAAACACAGATTGCTGGGCCCTGTCCTTAGAATTTCTGAATCAGTAAATCTAGGGTGGGACTGAGAATTTGCATTTCTAATAAGTTCCCAGAGGATGCTGATGCTACGTATATGGGGACCTCACATTGAGAGCCACTTCTCTAAAGCAGTAATACTCCACTCTTTTCAGGGTAAGACAGTTGTAAAAAAATAATATGTGTACTGTATCCTGGACTGAACCATAGAGGCCATGCTTGGCCTAAGGTGAATAGCCCAAATAGGCCTTGTGATGAAGGGATCAACATCAATCCTGAGTGGTCCTCAGCAGAAGGAGAAAAATAGGACAGTTTTTTATAAGTTTTTATTAAGGTTAAATAAATTTGATTTAAAGGACTACCTTTTATTGTCAAATTATGACCTTCTTAATTCTTTTTTTTTTTTTTATGTTTATTCATTTTTGAGAGACAGAAAGAGAGTGCCAGCAGGGGAGGGGTAGAGACAAAGGGAGACACAGAATCCAAGGCAGGCTCCAGGCTCTGAGCTGTCAGCAAAGAGCCCAATATGGGGCTCAAACTCACAAACCGTGAGATCATGACCTGAGCCAAAGTTGGACGCTTAACCAACTAAACTGCCCAGGTGCCCCATGACCTTCTTAATTTTTTGATGTTAAAAAGCCATTTCTTTCATGAAATGATTATGTTCACAAATGGTATGCTTAATATTAAGTTTGAAAATATTAAAAGTTGACAACCTGAGGTTGGTTGAGATTTTCATTCTAATTGTATTGGTTCATGAGATCCAAACATTTGGAAACTACTGCTTTAGACATTGCTGTGTCTACTGGTAGACAAAACAGTATTAGGACTAAGTACTAATTAGAAATATTAGAACAGAGGGAGGACCATCATAAATAGCTGAACAGATGAAGGAAATGTGGACATTCTGGCATCTTCCTCACAGAACTACAACCAAGTGCCCTTACAAAGATAAATATAACAGTTCACTTCCTTAATATCTTGAGATTATATATATATATATATATATATATATATACCTTAAATCACCAAAGAAAATTTACCTTATCAATTCAAACAGTAAAATACTCAGATTTGGTGTTGTATGTATACGCAATGTTTTTCTAGAAAGTCTTTTAAAAATTTACTTAAGGGATGCCTGGGTGGCTCAGTTAAGTATTCAACTCTTGGTTTCCGCTCAGGTCATGATCTCACAGTTCTTGTTTTCTAACCCCTTGTCGTGCTCCACACTGACAGTGTAGAGCCTGCTTGGAACTCTTAATCTCTCTCTCTCAAAAATAAACTTTTTTTTTTTAACTTAAGATGTATAAGACTGTATGTTATTTATACTGGAATAAATTTTTAAGTGTACATTTGGGCATTTATAATATATAAAAAGCTAAAGGTTATTCAAATAATATGAAGCTAATTTATTCACAATTAATAAGTTATGATTATCTTACATATTTAAATTGCTTTCATGATTTAGCCTATGGGCAAGTAGGTATGCCTAATAAAATGTATCGTATATATAGTTAAAACTGAAAAAAACTTACTTATGGTAAATGACATTAAAACATGATCAAATCAGCTAACTTTTTACTTTGAATGCTACCAGTGGAGTGGGACTTAGGGCAAGTAGACTTTTATTCCAGGGGACCTCGAGGTGTTGCTCTCTAGATAAGACATATGGAACCACTTGAAAACAAGTGGTGTGACCAAATTAGAGGTTTGAGTGAAGGATTAGAGGTTAGTGATCAAGAGACCTACTATTTAATTATTTTGCAAGATTAGGCCCTGTGTGATGTGATAATCCATTCCTTAAAGGCCACTTGGGGCCCTCCAAAGGGACTTGGCTGAATCAAAACCTGAGTCTTTGTGGGTGTGAGGGAATCACATAAGGGTGTATACTGTCCTGATATAGGGTAGGAGTGTCTCATCCCATTAATGTGTATTGAGGATCCCCTATGTGCCAAGCACTATGCCCACCTCTGTGGATGTGCTAATGGAAACAAGGGTCACTCCATCATCAAGGAACCCATAGTATGGTGGGGACTGCAGATGAGGGTTCAGATATAAAGGCTAAGAGATATTGACCTAATAAAAATCACAAAGACAGTAGGATCTAGAGGATGGAGTCTAATGATGAGACCTGGGAACTAGCTGAGCCCTTGCCTATGTTTGTATGATCTTGGGCAGGTCACCTAATTTCTATGGCTTCAGTTTTTCCTTCTGTAAAATGGTAAAGATAATCTCCTGTATAAGGAGAATCTGAAGTCAAGAATAGCAGAGCACTTTGCATTTGCTATAAAAATTCGGGATGTCATTACTGCTAATTTTATAATGCAGAACTGAGATATCTAGATGTCATTATTTATCAAGCTGTGGTAACAATGCCTATAGTGTTTGGGTTTTGGTTTTGTTTTATTTTAGTGCTATCTTCATTTTTAAATTTTTTAATGGAGTTCTGTTAGATGAAAGAACTTATCCACATTCTTTATCTCTTCATATTAACTTTACATCAAGTCATAAAAAGTTGTCATGTATTAGAGCAAAGAAGTAGGAATAATTTCTCATCAGAGTATTAAAGTAGTGGTCTTCCTACACATCTATACATTTATTAGGCCTCCTAGATATCTAAATAGAAATTTCATTTTGGCATGTGATACCTAGGATGTGGCAAAGTCAAGAAATGGCTTGTTTGCCTAAAAGCTGAGAGTAAGCTCCGTTCTAATCTAGGCCTTAGGCTGGGTCCTCATTGTGAAGCCATCATAAATTGAGGTGTTGTTCTCTCTTTTCCAGCTGAACTGTCCCAAGCAATAAACAGCGGTACATTATTAAAACCGTCCCCACCTTTACCTCCAAAGAGAGGCATTCTGTCAACCTTGGTACCCACCTCGGAGTCTCCTGCTGCCACTGCCACCACAAAAGCACCATCTGATCAGAGAGAGAAGAGCACTGTGGGCTCTGAACCACCGTTGATGATCCCGCCTCCCTCACCGTCTCCCCCACTGCCTACTCATATACCTCCCGAACCCCCACGGTCCCCTCCATTCCCTGCTAAGACTTTTCAAGTTGTGCCAGAAACGGAGTTTCCACCTTCCTTCAACCTACCCCAGGAGGTTTCCCCGCAGGAAGATCAGAGAAAGGAAGTGCCCAAGAGGATGTTGGACCACAGCTTTGGAGAGCCCCATGTACCGTGTAGGCTGCCTCCGCTCCCACTGCATATCCGAATCCAGCAGGCCCTGACCAGCCCGCTTCCCGTGACTCCTCCCCTGGAGGGCTCTCACAGAGCTCATTCCTTGCTCTTTGAGTACAGTGACAACTTTTCTGAGGACAGCAGCACCCTGGGTCGGACCAGGTCGCTTCCCGTCACTATTGAAATGCTAAAAGTGTGAGTGCCTTTAAAGCTTGCCTTTTATTTCCTCTTCTTTACTCTAGGTAGCCCTTCTTGGGAAAAATTACTTAGAAAATATGAATAAATTTAAAGTAAGAATACTCAACAAATAAGACATGTTCTAAAATTTGGACATTATTTACTCGGCTGATTTCTATAACATTGTTTCCATAGCAGTCACAAACATCTGTACTTGAAAATTAAAACCACTTTATTTTTTGTACATGATACAAGGGAGGCAGTGTAACAGGGTACTCAAGGAGCACTGACCTTGGAGTAAAATAGCTCTGGGTTCAAATCCCAGCTCCACCTCTTCTTAGCTTGTAGTAGTGTATGTTACTTAACCTTTCTGCTCTTTTGGCCAGCTGGAGATTTGCCTTACTAGGTAAAAGAATCGCTACAGAGCTGATGCAGCATACTGCTTCTTAGTTGCTTTGCCATAATCTTTGCTGGTACAGTTTTTTTTACTTCCTGGAACGAGACCATTTAGGAGCTTGAGATAGACTAAGTCAGTTTTATGCCTGCACAATGGAAGGGGGAGAGGTTAGTTTTTATCTTTACTTCTCTTTGCTTCCTTGGATTAGATTATCATTTTGTGCTACTCCATTGTTAAACCAAGGGAAATAAATGGGTTAAATATCTTTATTGTATATCTTCCATGAGCCAGGTACAATGTTAGATGCTCTGTGGTCTTCTCATTTAATCAGCCCCAAACAAACTTTCATCTCACATGTAGATCATTAGGACCCTGTGTGCCAAACACTAATACAGTCTAGAATTTATCTGTTTGTCACAACAAGCCTTGGACTTAGGTATCATTCACATTTACAAAAAAAGCTAAATAACTTACAAGCTAATGAATAAGTTGTAGAGCTAGGATTTGACCCCAGAGTCTTTTAGATTAATAGCTGCTAAAAAGTTTTTTAGCAAGATGGTTGAAGTTAAGGGAAGAAATAAATATTTTCATTTGTGGAATTTTCCATAGTTATTCAGTACTTTGCCATGTAAATCAGTTACCTGTTATGTTTCTGAAAGGAAAATATAATTATATTAATTTGTTAGTCCAGACGATGAAGAGGAGGAGGAGCAGACCCCTCCATCTGCAGTCACTGAAGATGTGACATCTACCTCAGCTGTTCCTAAACTATCACAGTGTCTGCAGGAAGAGGAGGAAGAGAAGGAGAGTGACTCTGATTCAGAAGGTCCCATTCAGTACCGAGATGAAGAGGATGAAGATGAGAGCCATCACAGTAAGAAAGGGAAAAAGCAAAGGAGGAAATTATCTTACCGATAAGGCTGGTCTTAGCAAATATAAGATGAATGGAGATAGGCCCCCTCTCCCATCCAGTCATCTGCCTAACTGACCCTGGAGGCCATTGCGAAGGATCCTTGTCCCTGCTCTTCCCACCATTCTAACAAGGCAGTGAGAAGCCAAGTAGATTGAGTCATGTAGGTTTTTATTTGCTTGTGACTGAAAAATCATTTACCTTGATGGTATTAAAGAATTTGGAGTAGAAGAAAGCTGGTATTTGAGCTGTGTTGAAAAGACATAGTGATGCTCTGCTTTAGTCTCATGAACTTACTGTGTCCGTCTGTGGGGCAAAGAAAAATCCATGTGCATGTATGCAGATCCTCAGATAATGGAATCCTCATCCCTAAAAGTGAGAAGGCAGCTTTAAGAACAGGAATCTTTGGAGGAACCTGGGTGGCTCTGTCAGTTGCTGTCTGTGCTGACAGCTCAGAGCCTGGAGCCTTCTTTGGAAACTGTGTCTCCTTCTCTCTCTCTGCCCCTCCCCCACTCTCACTCTGTCTCTCTCAAAAATAAACAAACATTAAAAAAAATTTAGAATAGGAATTTTGGGGCACCTGGCTGGCTCAGTCCATGGAGCATGTGACTTTTAATCTCAGGATCATGAGTTTAAGCCCCACTTTTGGTATAGAGCTTACTTTAAAACAACAACAACAACAACAACGAATGGTCATCTTAGGAGGTGTCTTATTGCAAATGCCTTTATTGCTGTAATTCAGAGGCTGTCCCATGTTTAAATTCTCTCTCCTCTAGCAGCTCTTCCTTAGAAGGAATGTAAAGGAATGTTGAAGGGAGAAGATATGTTTAGCCCAGCTGAATCCATCTGACTAACTAGATTTTTAGAGGTCTTCAGCTTTACTCCCCACCTGCACATAAGCTAAGTTATCTGGAGGCCAAGTAGAAAGCTGAGAGTTGACATTCTGTTTGTTCAGACTCTCGCCTAGTTAAAGATTGAGCCTGAGCCTTAGTGCCTACTTTGTTTTCTTTCCCTTGTGCAAAGGTGCTCTGGCCAACAAAGTAAAGAGGAAGGACACACTGGCAATGAAGCTGAACCACAGACCCAGTGAACCAGAGTTGAACATGAATTCCTGGCCTCGGAAAAGCAAAGAGGAGTGGAATGAAATACGGCACCAGATTGGGAACACACTTATCCGGTAGGCTTTTGCTTAGAACAGGTGGATTTTATTTGGTTTTGCCAGTAGGTGTGTTAGAGACTTTGTGGTGGAGTATTCACTTCTCTTCTTTTCTTTTTTGATTTTAGAAACAGCATAATTTTAAAAAATATTCATTGTACACAGTTGTATATCCTCTTGGAACTTGAAAACTAAGGAACCAAATGGCTCTTGGAGCTTTAAACCATGAGGTAGACATAAATATGGGTGTAAAAAAGTTTCTAGGGGCGCCTGGGTGGCTCAGTCTGTGGTTAAGCATCCGTCTTTGGCTCAGGTCATGATCTCACTGTTTGTGAGTTTGAGCCCTACATTGAGCTCTCTGCTCTCTACCCAGAGCCTATTTCGGATTCTCTGTCCCCTTCTTTCTCTGTCCCTCCTCTACTTGCGTGCACTCACTCTCTTCCTCTCTATCTCTCTCAAAAATAAGTAGACGTTAAAAAAAATTTCTTGGGGTGCCTGGGTGGCTCAGTCGGTTAAGCGTCCGACTTCAACTTGGGTCATCATCTCACGGTTTATGAGTTCGAGCCCCGCATTGGGCTCTGTGCTGACAGCTAGCTCAGAGCCTGGAGTCTGTTTCAGATTCTGTGTCTCCCTCTCTCTCTGACCCTCCCCTGCTCACGCTGTCTCTCTCTCTCAAAAATAAATAAAACATAAAGAAAAAAAAGTTTCTAGAGAATCTGACTCAGTCAGTAGAGCATGCAACTCTTGATCTGGGGGTCCTGAGTTCAAACCCCACACTGGGCATGGAGCTTACTTTAAAAAAAATTTTTTTTTTAGTTTCTGGAGAATTCAGATGGTTCCCAGGCCAGCAACACTCCTCTGTCATTTATCCAGTTACTCAGCTATGAGGTGCCAACCCAATTAAAAATCACACCCATATTTTTCATTGTGTCTGTTTCACATGTTCCATGTATCTGCCTTCAGCATTTCAAAGTGTTAGTATATTTTTCAAGTCAAGTAGAACCAAAAGCATAGAGAAACTGAATGCAGGCCAGCTTCCTGCACAGATAATGTACACGAAGTCCAGGTATATAGACAGCCATTGGACCAACTCAGATGTTTGTCTTGGTGGAGTGAGGAAAAGGAAGTAGAACTCTTGGCATATCCTTAACAAAATAATTAAGTTAGGGTGTTCATTAATTGAGATATATTCTTTCCTGCCTCAGACACCCGGCTTTGCTGTTGCCCAGGATGGCAATCTTTTTTTTTTTTTTTTTTTTTTAATATTTTTTATTTATTTCTAGGAGAGAGAGAGAGAGACAGCGTGAGCAGGGGAGGGCCAGAGAGAGAGGGAGCCACAGACTGAAACAGGCTCCAGGCTCTGAGCTGGCAGTCAGCACAGAGCCCGACGCGGGGCTCGAACTCACAAACCGTGAGATCATGACCCAAGCGAAAGTCGGACGCTCAACCGACTAAGCCACCCAGGCGCCCCCAGGATGGCAATCTTAATACAGAGCTGAGGCCCTCTAGGTGTCGGCAAGAGACTATCAACAATAGGAATTAGTTAAGACTGGGAACCTTTGATAACAGATTTTTTGGGTGCCTGGGTGGCTCAGTCAGTTAAGAGTCCAACTTCAGCTCAGATCATTATCTCACGGTTTGTGAGTTCAAGCCCTGCAGCAGGCTCTGTGCTTATAGCTTAGAGCCTGGAGCCTGCTTCCCATTCTGTCTGTCTGTCTCTTTCTCTCTCTCTCTCTCTCTCTCTCTCTCTCCCCCCCCCCAAAAATAAACAAACATTTACAAAATCTTTAAATATTTACAGATAAATCTGACAAAAGATTATGTAAGACTTACATACAGCAAAGTATAAAATCCTGCTGAAGAAAGTAAAGAATCGGGCGCCTGGGTGACTAAGTCAGTTGGGCGTCCGACTTCAGCTCAGGTCATGATCTCACTGTTCGTGAGTTTGAGCCCCGCATTAGGCTCTGTGCTGAGAGCTAGCCCAGAGCCTGGAGCCTGCTTCCAATTTTCTGTCTCCCTCTCTCTCTGCCTCTCACTTGCTCTGTCTCTCTTGCTCTCAAAATTAAATGAACATAAAAAAATTTTTTTTAAGTAAAGAAGAATCAAATAAATGGAGAGAAATATATTCATGGATCAGAAGTCTCAAGTATTATAACATATCAATATGTACAATTCCAATCAAACTACCCTTCAGAAGGCTTTTATTTTAATTGGCAAACTGATTTTAAAATTCTTATGGAAATACAAAATACACTTGAGTAACCAAAGCAACTATGAAAAAGAACAGGGTTGGAGGAGTAACACAATATGATTTAAGACAGATTATAGGGGTGCCTGTCGGCTCATTCAGTTAAACATCATACTTCAGCTCAGGTCATGATCCCACGGTTTGTGGGTTCGAGCCCTACATCAGACTCTCTGCTGTCAGTGCAGAGCTTACTTCAGATCCCCTTTCCCCCTCTCTCTCTGCCCCTCCCCCACTTTCTCTCTCAAAAATAAACTTTAAAAAAAAGACAGATTACAGGGTTCCTGGGTGGCTCAGGTCATGATCTCACGGTTCGTGGGTTTGAGCCCCGCGTCGGGCTCTGTGCTCACAGCTCAGAGCCTGGAGCCTGCTTCAGATTCTGTGTCTCCCCCCTCTCTGCCCCTCCCCACCTCAAGCTCTGTCTCTCTCTCTCTCAAAAATAAATAGGCATTTAAAAAAAATTTTTTTAAAAACAAAGATTATAGGGACACCTGGGTGGCTTAGTTGGTTAAGCATCCAACTTCAGCTCAGGTCATCATGATCTTATGGTTCATGAGTTCAAGCCCTGAATTGGGCCCTGTGCTGGCATTAGGGAGCCTGCTTGGGGTGTTCTCTGTCTCTCCCTCTGCCCCTCCCCTGCATTCACTCATGAGCTCTGTCTCAAAATAAACTTAACTTAAAAAGATTATAAAGTAGGGGCGCCTGGGTGGCTTAGTCGGTTAAGCGTCCGACTTTCACTTAGGTCATGATCTCGCGGTTCGTGGGTTCAAGCCCCGCATCGGGCTCTGTGCTGACTGCCAGCTCAGAGCCTGGAGCCTGTTTCAGAGTCTGTGTCTCCCTCTCTCTCTGACCCTCCCCTGCTCACGCTGTCTCTCTCTCTCTCTCCTAGAAATAAATAAAAATATTAAAAAAAAAAAAAAGATTATAAAGTAAAAGTAACCTAATCAGTGTGGTGTTGACATAAAGATAGATAAACCACACAGAAAGGAGAGCCCAGAAATATACCCACCTATATATGTACAGCCCATTTTTGACAGAGGTACAAAGATAATGGAGAAAGGATGGTATTTTCAACAAATGGTGCCAGCATAAAAATTACTTCAGTCCATCCCTTGCATTATATATAAAAAATTAACTCAAGGGGCGCCTGGGTGGCTCAGTCGGTTAAGCGTCCGACTTCAGCTCAGGTCATGATCTCACAGTTCATGGGTTCTAGCCGCATGTCGGGTTCTGTGCTGATAGCTAGCTCAGAGCCTGGAGCCTGTTTCCGATTCTGTGTCTCCCTTTCTTTCTGACCCTCCCCTGCTCACAGGGTCTCTCTCTCTCTCTCTCTCTCAGGAAAAAAAAAAAAAGAAACATTAAAAAAATTAACGCAAAATGAATCCTAGGTTTAAGTATGAGGGCTAAAACTACAAAACTTCTAGCAGAGTTAGACAAAGATTTCTCAGCTATGATTTCAAAGGCATGATTCTTAAGAGAAAAACATTGATAAATTGCACTTCATCTAAATTAAACATTTTTCTTCTTTGAAAGACACTAGGGGTGCCTGGATGAGTCAGTCGGTTAAGCCTCCAACTCAGGCTCAGGTCATGGTCTCGCAGTTCGTGAATTTGAGCCCCATGTTGGGCTCTGTCCTGATAGCTTGGAGCTTGGACCCTGCTTCAGATTCTGTGTCTCCCTCTTTCTCTCTGCCCCTCCCGTGCTCACGCTGTCTTCCATTCCTCTCTCTCAAGAATAAATAAACATTTAAAAAAAAAAAAAGACACTGAAGAGAAGTAAAAAACAAGCCACAAACTGGGAGAAAATATTTGTGAATCATGTATCTGATAAAGGAAAAGGTGTGGAGAAGATTTCAAAGAAGAAAATATAGATGGCAAATAAGCATATTGAAAGATGCTCGACATCATTAGTAATTAGGGAAATGCAAACCAAAACCACAGTGAGAAACCACTACAAGCCCACTAGGCTGGCTAAAATTGTACAATTTACAAGACTAATAATACCAAGAGTTGCTAAGGATAAGGAGCAGCTGGATTCTCATACACTGGTGGTAGGAATGTAAAATAGTAGAACTATTTTAGGAAACATTTATAAATTCTTTTTTAAAACTCAAACATATGATCCAGCCATTCCATTAGCTATTATTTGTAATAGCCACCCAGGAAAATTAGAAACAACATAAATATCCACCAAAGGGCAAATAGAGGAACAAATCGCGGTGTCCTCATTCAGTGGGATACTGCACAGAAATAAAAAGCAACAAACTCTTTATAATGTTACAACTTGAGTAGAGCTCAGTAATTATTCTGAAAGAGAATTGACCAAAAAAAAAAAAAAAAAAGCACATACTATATTTTATGTAAAATTTTAGGAAATAAAAGCTATAGGTACATAAAGCAGGTGATTGTTTGCTAGGGGCAGGGAGATTGAAATTAATAAAAGGAAATGAGGGGCCCCTGGGTGGCTCTGTTGGTTCAGTATCCCACTCTTGATTTCAGCTCAGGTCATAATCTCATGGTTTGTGAGTTCAAGCCCCACATCGGGCTCTGTGCTGACAGCTCAGACCCTGGAGCCTGCTTCCGATTCTGTGTCTCCATCTCTCTGCCCCTTCCCCACTCACACTCTGTCTCTCTCTCTCTCTCTCAAAAATGAATAAACGTTCAGAAAAAAAGAGAGAGAGACAACCTTAAATTCCAGTGGTTGCTAAATCACTGGTTTAAAAATCAAAAGAAAGACATCGGAGTTGTGAGAACGACTGTAAAAATAGATACATTAAAATCTCAGTCCTCATTCTAGTTGTCGGAGTCAGAATTTCTGTTACATGTGTTGAGGGCCTCTGCCCCTTCCATGCGTCTTTGTGGGGGCTTCATTTACAGGTGAGCACACCCAGGACCTGCCTGGGCCCGGTAACATCAGAGCCAGAACTGGACTCTTGGCCTCCTGTTTGCATGTGATATCTCTATTAACACTTTCAACGTGAAAATTGTTTCATAAACAATCAGATAAACAGACAAAATACCAAAACAGTTTGAAAATGTATTGCTTTCGTGCTAATGTAGGGGCTAACACAAGCTGAGAGCAAAACAAATCTGAATACGCGGGATTGGGAGGTTTAACGTGGACAATCCCCTTATTTATTTCCTCTTTAGACGACTGAGTCAAAGACCAACACCAGAAGAACTAGAACAGCGGAATATACTACAACGTGAGTCCAGCTATGGGTATAAAGTGGTACTTTTCTTTGTATATTTCTGACTTTAACACACATACCAGAGTGGAGAAGAGAAGCATTTCCTACAAGGGCCAAGGAGAGGGTGTTCCGCCCAGGAGGGACTAGTCATATATTTTCCCAGGAAGGAACAGAACTCCCCCAAGCTTCCTTTACAAGATATCATTATAGTATTGCTTAGTGTACTGGGAACCTCCAGAAAATTCTGGTCCCGTGTTCTCACAGCATGCTCAGAGCACCGTGGCCCATGTGGGAGGGCATGACAGCTTGTGGTGGGCACTGCCCATGTGGGAGGGCATGACAGCTTGTGGTGGGCACTGCCCAACTTGCAAGGTCATGGCTCTGCATTCGGAGGGGGCCTTCCTGTTCCTAGTGGACTTTGAGGGCGAGGGCCCAAAGCGAGGCCCAGATGTAGGAGTGTCCCACCTTGTTCATTTCTTACGACTTTGGGACACCTAAAGTCACAAAATAGGACCGTGGGTTTCATTGACTTTCTGTGTACATAATTAACTTCCTAAAATAACATGCGATCTAATATACATTTGATTTCGTTTTCCAGATTGTGGGGTGAGTTTTTCCCTTAAAAGCCACCACACTGAGAGGACTAGGCTTCATAGAGTTACTTGTGGGCATGCTCAGTCTGCCCAGTCCACCCCTGTTCTCTCATTACTACGTGGATATATACAGCTTAGTAACCAAGTGAATTTTAAACTTGGGAACCTTTATAGACATATCACGTGAGACTTAGTGTGGTTTCCATTCTTCATTCTTGGTGGTTGCTCTTGAGCAAGAATCTGCAGAGTTTTTCTAAAGGGCACATAGTAAATATATTCAGCTTTGCAGGCCAAACGCAAAAGTCCCTATTGTGTAGGTACTTGCCAAGCCATTCAAAATATAATCATTTAAAAATGTAAAGATCAGGGGTGCCTGGGTGGCTCAGTAAGGTTAAATGTCCAACTCTTGATTTCAGCTCAGGTCATGATCCCATGGTTTGTGAGATCGAGCCCTCCATCGGGCTCTGTGCTGACATCGTGGAGCCTGCCTGGGATTCTCTCTCTCCCTCTCTCTCTCTTTGCCCCTCCCCCTCTCTACCTCTGCGTGTGCATGGGTGCATGCACTCTCTCAAAATAAACTTAAAAATAAATAAATTGTTAAAAGATTTAAAGATCATTTTTAGCTCATGGGCAGTAAAAACACAGGCAACTGGCTGGATTTGGTACCATAGTGCTGCCGACACTTGCTCCTAAGTATTTGACTATACCAGTTGACAAGAAAAATATCCTGATTGGCCATCGCCAAAGTTAGTATTTTATTCTGACTTGGAGCCTGTAAGAAATATCTGCCGTGTGATTACTGAAAACTTTGCCGCTTTGAAGTAATATTCTTTGTTTTGGACTGTTAATAGCTAAAAATGAAGCTGATCGGCAGGCAGAAAAACGAGAGATTAAACGTCGTCTTACTAGAAAGGTATGTAGCCCAGCTGTTTGGTTTCACTCTGTCTACTGACCACATATCTTATATTCGAATGGCCTATTTGGTTAGACTTGAATTGCTATAGGTTGCTATGAAAATATGATACATGTTGTAGATACTGAAAACAACACAGCATTATCAAGAGCATTTGGTGGGGTGGGGGGCAGCTAGGGGGCTCATTGTGTTAAGTGTCTGCCTTCAGCTCAGGTTGTGATCTCGCAGTTGGCGAGTTCGAGCCCTGCATCGGGTTCTCTGCTCTCAGCCCAGAGCCCACTTAGGATCCTCTGCCATCTTCTCTTGCCCCTGCCCTGCTCACGCACTCTTTCTCTCTCTCAAAAATAAACATTTAAAAAAAGCACTTTTTCCCATTTTACTATTTAAAGAACACCTGGCACAAGGTGCTCCATTAATGTTTGCATAAATTCTGACCTTTTATTTGTGTAAACCTGGGATTTTGATGTAGACTCCAAAACTTTTTGAAGTAAATAGAGACAGTAACAGAAGGAGTGTGTTGCGGTCACTTTTGCCTGGAGCCTGCTTCAGATTCTGTGTCTTCCTCTCTCTCTGCCCCTCCCCCACTCACTCTCTGTCTTTGTCTCTCAAAATAAATTAAGCTCTGGGATTAATTCCTTTTTCCTTTCCTTCTCACAATAATAGTCTATAATTGCCGCCTCCTATAGATTCTGATTTGGCCTGAACTCTCTAGTTATTTCTGAAAACTTAACAGATTCACCCTCTATATTAATCACTAGGTCTTGCTTTCATATTAAAGGTATTCACTTGGGGCGCCTGGGTGGCTTAGTCGGTTAAGCGTCCGACTTTCGCTTAGGTCATGATCTCACGGTTCGTGGGTTCGAGCCCCGCGTCGGGCTCTGTGCTGACTGCCAGCTCGGAGCCTGGAGCCTGTTTCAGTCTGTGACTCCCTCTCTCTCTGACCCTCCCCTGCTCACGCTGTCTCTCTCTCTCCTAGAAATAAATAAAATATTTAAAAAAAATTTTTTTAAAGGTATTCACTTCCTAATGTATTATATATGAGTTAGTTTATAGCTCTGATCCTTTTGCTCCCCAAAATGTGCACAGACCAGCACCACTGGCCTCACCTGGGAGCTTGTAGAAATGCAGAATCTCAGGCCCCACCTCACACCTGCTTAATCAAAATCTACATGGTAACCAGATCCCCAAATGATCTGTATGCATAATAAAGTTTGAGAAGCACTGGGCATACTGGTTATACTGGCTTATAGCCGTGGTTCTCAATCTTAGCTGTGGCATTCAGGCGCTTTAAAAAAAACAAAACAAAACAAAACCTCCCAATACCCAGAATCTTTGGGAATGGACCCAGACATCAGTAGCGTTCAAAGGTCCCCAGGTAATTCCAGCGAGCAGTAAGGTTGATGCGCTGGGTTAGAGGCGATTTGAATGCATGATTGATGCCTAATCCCCGGCATAGTGAACTAAGAGGCTCCGTTTCTTTCAGCTCAGTCAAAGGCCGACTGTGGCTGAACTACTTGCCAGGAAGATTCTGAGGTTTAACGAATATGTGGAAGTAACAGATGCTCAAGATTATGACCGGCGAGCTGACAAACCTTGGACCAAACTGACCCCTGCTGACAAGGTACCTGTTCATCTCTCTCTCTCTCTGAAGAATATAAAACACTAACTAGAAGGGAAAAACATAATATTTTTACTTTTGATATGTTAAATTTCTAATCAAGATAGAAAATGCCAAGATGTATGAACCAAAACTTTATACTAATGACTCCATCACCACCACCACCACCACCACCACCACAACCAAAAGAAAAAAAAATCCTTCATTTTCCGTCACAGAGTCCATAAATCTGGAAGGAAATAAAACACATTTTAATGGTGGTTATGTCCTATTGGAGGGAGTTCGGGTGGTATGTTTTAGTAATTACCTATATTTCACTTTTATAACAGGAAATGCATTCTTACATGCTGTGGAAACTATAAAAGTTATAATATCTCTTTTAAGCACTCTAGGTGTTTTGATGTAAGTAGAGATATTCGGATTATTATGAGATAAATAGTGTCAGGGAAGGTGACGTGTACCAGGCTCAGAGTGTGGATCTGGCTCCTTTTTGCTTGTTCTGGGTTGCCTGCTATGCGGTGCGGTGACTCATTAAGTTAATAAGCCCAAGGGAGAATAGATGGCAAATGACACTGCTATACTATGGCAGACAGAAGATGCTAAAACATGTTTGTTTCTACTCCACAGGCTGCCATAAGAAAAGAATTAAATGAATTTAAAAGCTCAGAGATGGAGGTTCATGAAGAGAGCAAGCATTTTACACGGTAAGACCCAAAAGACCCAAATACTGTGAGCTAAGTCAAGCTCCACCACAAAACAGACGTAACAGGGTTGTTCAGATAGGAAGGACTCTAATGACATCATTAAGAAAAGAACACGGGGTGCCTGGGGGGCTCAGTTGGTTGGGCTTCCAAGTTCGGCTCAGGTCATGATCTTACAGCTTGTGGGTTTGAGCCCCGTGGCGGGCTCTGTGCTGACAGCTCAGAGCCTAGAGCCTGCTTCAGATTCTGTGTCTCCCTCTCTTTCTGACCCTCCCCTGCTCACACTGTCTCTGTCTGTCTCTCAGAAATAAATAAAACATGAAAAAAAGAAGAAAAAAAGGACACAGCATGCTGACTGCAAGAGACCACCTTTAGAGACAGGAATGATGACTAAGAGGCAGTAGGAAATGCCTATACTGAGTGTGACATTTAATGCATATTATTATTTAATCCTTGTGATAAGCCTACAGGCTTTGTTAATATCCCCATTTTGTTGATGAAGAAACAGGCCCAGGAGCATCTAAGTGGCTTAATTGGTTGAGTGTGCGACTCTTGATCTCATGGTCATGAGTTTGAGCCCCAAATTGGGTGTGGAGCTTACTTAAAAAAAGAAAAGATGGGGCGCCTGGGTGGCTCAGTCATTTGAGTGTCCGACTTCAGCTCAGGTCATGATCTCACAGTTCATGGGTTCAAGCCCCGCATCAGGTTCCGTGCTGACAGCTAGCTCAGAGCCTGAACCCTGCTTCAGATTCTATCTCCCTCTCTCTCTGACCCTCCCCTGTTCATGCTGTCTCTCTCTCTCTCTCTCAAAAATAAATAAAACATTAAAAAAAATTTTTTTTTTTTTAAAGAAAAGAAACAGGCCCCAAAAGGTTAAGTAAATTGCAGAACCATGACTGGAGAAAGGAATGACTGGCAGAAAGCCCCTGGATGCTCTCTTCCTGGGCCTCAGTGTCCCCCGTGTTGTATGAGGAAATTGTTGCTAAGTTAGACAAGATCTCACCCTCTCTGGTTTCAGTCATTTCTAGTACTGTTGATCTTACCACGTTAGGGTATAAACTTCATTTTAGTTAGCTGTCTTCATGAAGCAAGCCAAGAAGTATTTTGGTGTGGAATTACTGTTGTGATTAAGGACCCACCTAAAGAATCAGCTGCATACAAATGGAATCAATGAAAGTATGTTGGTAACTCAGAACTTACAAAAAGAGGCTGGGGGCACCTGGCTTAGTCAGAAGAGCATGAGATTCTTGATCTTGGGGTCATGAGTTCAAGACCCACATTGGGCATAGAAATTACTAAAAATAAACTTAAAAAAAAAAGTGGGGGTGCCTGGGTGACTCAGTTGGCTAAGCGTCTGACTCTTGATTTTGACTCAGGTCATGATCTCATGGTTCATGACCTTGAGCCCCATGTTGGGCTCTGCACTGACAGCACAGAAACTGCTTGGCATTATTTGCCCCTCCCCTGTTTGCATGCTTCCTCTTTAAATAAATAAACTTTTTTTTAAAGAGGTTAAATTAAGGAAGATACAATAACAATTACATTTGCTATAAAAGAAGCCAACAAGCAAAGTTGGAAAATAAAATATTGTTAAACATTTTTCCATCACAGTACAGGCAAATGGTTCTTTTATTTTTATTTTTATTTTTTTAATATTTTTATTTATTTCTAGGAGAGAGAGAGAGAGAGAGACAACGTGAGCAGGGGAGGGTCAGAGAGAGAGGGAGACACAGACTCTGAAACAGGCTCCAGGCTCCAAGCTGGCAGTCAGCACAGAGCCCGACGCGGGGCTCGAACCCACGAACTGCGAGATCATGACCTAAGCGAAAGTCGGACGCTTAACCGACTAAGCCACCCAGGCGCCCCGCAAATGGTTCTTTTAATTACAGAATTTTTAGAGAAGGCAAATTTTGTTTGAGAAAGTGAGGGAGGGGGCAGAGGGAAAGAGAGGGAATCTTAAACAGGCTCTATGCTCAATGTGGAAGAGAAGGCACGTTTTTTGAACAGCAATAACACTCTTCAGGGCAATGTAGTATGAACTCAAATAACAAGCCATACTTGCCAGCCAGAAGACTGTAGTCTAATCGGAAAAGGACTTGTGCGCTACTGACCATTGAGTGCAGTCACTATGATGAATGCCCCAGTCAGTCTAAGTCCTGAATCGGCCAGGTTTCGTATCCCAGCTCTACCATTTCCTAGCTATGTCAGTGTTACCCGTTCTCATTGTTGTTATAATAGTAATAAAGCAGTATAGCGAGCAACAATAAAAGAGTCATAGAGATGGTGCCACTTAGGCTGAATCTTAAAGCATGTGAAAGAATTTATTTGAACAAGAAGGAAGGAAGGAACCAGTATCACCAAGCAGCATTCTAAGCAGAGGGACCGGCATTACCAAGGCGATGGGAGGTGAGCAAGTGCACACTATCTCTCGGTGACAGAAAGTGTCGCTGGAGCAAGGGACACGAGGGAGCAGTGTGGTGAAGAGGAGACCAACACAGTGGGTTATGGTCACACTCTGACGAGCTTTGACTGTTCCGCTAGGACACCGGAACCGCTGGAGTTCTGAGCGTTTCAGGTGGGGCTCTGGTGGATCGGTGGAAAGTGATGTGATAGGATGAAGGCACTAGCACCAAGGAAACCAGGCAGGAAGTAACTAAAATAGGGGCGCCTGGCTGGCTCAGTCAGAAGAGCATGTGACTCTAGTTTCGGGGTCATGAGTTTGAGCTCCACGCTGGTGTAGAGATTACTAAAAAATGACAAATTTTAAACTTTGAATAAATAAATGTATGCATGTATGTAACTAAAATAGTCACACTGAGCACACTGGTAGCTCAAACCAGGGAAGTGATTATGAGAATACAAGAGAGATGGATTGGATGCCATTTCAAGCACAGAACCAGATTGGGCAATCTCCTGAATCCAGGGATGAATTAAAGAGAGTAGTCAAGTGACTCTTAGATCTCAAACTTGTGATTTTTGGTGTCTGTGAAGTCAGTGGGGAGTTGAGGTGAACACTTTAGGACATTTATTCAGCAAGGATTTATTACACACCTACTACCTGGAAGATAACAGTACTAGGTGCTTGGAATATCACCCAGAACAAGATAAAGTCCCTGTCCTCAAGGAGCTTTTCTTCTAAAAGAGGAAAGCAAAAAAAAATAATAATAATAATAATAAATAAAAGAGGAAAGCAGACAGTAAACAAACTGGAAAACACATCATCTATGTTGCGCTTGACAAACCTGAGACACATTGAGGTGGAAATGCCTAGAAGACAGTCGGTTGAGAGCCCAGGGAGAGAAGCAAAGCCTCAAAATACGAAATTATGAGAAAAGATAGTGGCTCTTAAAATGAGCCAGAAAAGCGTTCTAAGGAAAATAGGGCTCCTTGCTGGCCCAGGTGGTAGAGGATCTGACTCTTGATCTCAAGGTCATGACTCCGAGCTGCACATTGGGTCTGGAGATTACTTTTAAAAAACAAGAAGAAGAAGAAGGAAAGTTAGGTAGAATTAGAGTAGCAGAGAGGCAGTTTTTAAAAATTAGCATAGGGGCGCCTGGGTGGCTTAGTCGGTTAAGCGTCCGACTTTCGCTTGGGTCACGACCTCGCGGTTCGTGGGTTCGAGCCCCGCGTCGGGCTCTGTGCTGACTGCCAGCTCAGAGCCTGGAGCCTGTTTCAATCTGTTACTCCCTCTCTCTCTGACCCTCCCCTGCTCACGCTGTCTCTCTCTCTCTCCTAGAAATAAATAAAAAACAATTAAAAAATAAATAAAAAAATTAAAAAAATAAAAATTAGCATAACATTTCATGACTTCATATAATCGCAGCAAATCTGCAGTATCTGGTAACTCAGCCCTTTTTGCTCATCTGTTTTAGCTACCATCGTCCATGATGCTGAAGTGTGAGAAAAGAGCTCTACAACCCCCTAAAACAGGGCTGCGTGGCTGCCTCGGTCTCCAGAGCAATATGGAAGGAACTTCTGCACTTCCCAGCACGGCCAGGATTGAGTCCTCGGGGATGTAGTTATGGGGCGAACAGCACTTCTATGAATGTAGCTTCCACTGGAATGGGTGGCCATGTGCTGCTTTGAACAGAACCGAACACTTCATCGTGCTTTTGAACCTTTTAATACCACATCATACTTGAGGGGTCTTCCTCAGCACCCACCCACGCTCTGGGCCACTCGCCGGTTCCAAGTGTTACTGGCCACCCACACCCTCGCCCCAAGATGACCACCTGTGCTGGGGCACAGGTCACACCATTCGCCTTACCTGCTCTGCCCTGCTCAGGAGCGCCCCTTGTGTGGCCCCAGCCATCAGATCCAAGTGGTGGTGGGCAAAACCTTCTGGAGGCCCCCAGCCTTCGGACAGAGGGGGCCCCACCTCCCGGGGACGCCTCCACACCACACTGGCACGTCACTTGAAAGTGGTGCGCTATACCTCTCGTAACCCAGCAATAAAGTCCTCCTCAGGCAGTGCGGCCTGCAGGGAGCTCGGGATCTGACATGTTCCTTTCGGGCACAAGTCATCCTGATTTTTATTTTTTTAATTAAAAAAAAAAAGATCTTGAAGAAATGCTGGAAACTTTTGTTTTTCCTGCCTATTAAACAATCTGAGCTGCAATTAGAGTCCAAGTTAAGAAAATGAGAAAGCATATATATTTTCTGTATACAAAGACAAAACCAAAAAAAGGCCTTTATGGTAACGCCAGCTTGGCACAAAACTAACTCATGGCTCAAATTTTATACGCTGTTGTACTTTTGTCGCACCAAATGATATTCTAAATCACTCTGACCAATAGACATGCTCTCCAGGACACGTGGCAACTCCGTGGGAGCCAGCCCTCTGCTGCGGGCCCCGCACCTCCAGCCAGAGTCACTTCAAGCTCCCAGGGAAGTGGGGTGTGGAAGATGACTTTGGAGGCAGAAGTAGAAGGGCACAATCACGACCCACTGTTCCTCCCTCCTGCTCACTCTCCCTCTTCCCTCCAGACGCCCGTCCTCCTGCTGACCCTCTCTGGCACTTTCCACCTCACTCCTCTGCCAAGCAGTAGCCAGTGTCGTTGGTGCCTGGGCCTCGGCTCGACTCCCACCCCTTTTCGTATTTGTCATATATGTTAAACTGATTTCCTAAAACAGAAAATTCATTTGCTTTCTTTTTTATTTTGAAAACCATACTGCCTCACCCTTTCCCTCTAGTTCCTATCCATACTAAGTGGAAGGAAAAAAAAGTTCCTATTTACCTGATGAATGTGGCCTTTCTCCTCTTAATGTTCAGAAAACTGTGGCTGTTCCACCGATTTCTTCTGCAGTCCCTGTTCTGTTGTAATCGTTCACTAGATTCTTACTTGTTTTCTCCTCCTTTGTCCATATAAGATTTGCTGAAAAATCAGAATTCATCAAGTCAAAACAAAAGAGCTGAGGTGACCTTAAAAAGGTAGTGTCTTCTCTCTGTATGGGGAATAGGGAAGTACTCCGCTCTCTCAGTTACTGTCAGATGCCTTGCGGCTACGGAGCTCGAGTGCGTCCACAGCTCCTTGCAACGCGTTACATTTGGTGTAAGTGCAAGAAGTGAGTGACAGTTGTACACAGTTGTGAGAGGTCTGTATATGAGGTGGCTGGCCATGCACACGACTTCTAACCTCTCTGTTGGTTTGGAGACTTTTGGCTTACGCTGGCATTCTCGGTGGCTTGCGGTGACATTTTCAAACCCTTCTGCTGCCTCGCTTTCCCTCAATGTGCCAAGTTTGAAACAGGATTTGATTTCCTGAGCTACATGTCTGCTTTCTATGTGCCACCAAGGATTCTGGCTCATCTTTCATCTCATTCATGTTCTTTTGAAACAAGATACTTTGGGGGTCAAGTCCTTTCAGGTGTTTATATATATATATATATGTATAATGGATTTTGTGTTCCCTTTTTATGTAAGTAACAGTTCATAATCATAATGTAAAGAATAAATAAGTCTGATGTATTGTACTTTAAGATGCTTCCCTGATGTACAGAATCTCCTTGTAAAGTAAATAATTGTGTTGTATATCAGTCTTCCTATCAATATTAATTATAAAGTATTTTAGAATTAAAAAAAGACAAACTATACTATTCTGGTATGAAGTGTTTCATTCATTCATTCATTCATTCATTCATTGAGAGGGAGAGAGACAGAGTGTGAGGCGGGGAGGGGGACAGAGAGCAAGGGAGACACAGACGACAAAGCAAGCTTCAGGCTCTGAGCTGTCTGCACAGAGCCTGATGCTGAGGCTCAAACTCACAAACCGTGAGATCATGACCTGCGCCGAAGTCAGACACTTAACTGACTGAGCCACCCAGGTGCCCCTGAAGTGCTTTTTAATGTTCTCTACCTTATTCCAAAAGATTTAAGCAAGCTTATAAATGATACCTAAAATACTGCTAGATGGCCTAAATAAGAAGTAGATGAGGGGGGGAAATAATACTAACATTATTAAGTGTAACCAGAGGGAAGGCCAGTTATGTTGTGTCTGTGCACATGTAGGACAGAAAGTCAACTGTGACCCCCACCCCCACCCCCCCGTGTGGTATGGCACCGGGTCCTTTATCCAATTTACCCCACCCCTAATTTGGGAGGTAAGGGGAAAAAGGACCTGGGAGGTGAAGTTGCTTCCCAAAGGTCAAAGCAAATTACATAATCACTGTTTGCATATATTGAGGGACAGGCAATTGCATCCCAGTCAGTTGTCCCTGCAAGGCTGTGCTGTGTGTGGACCACATGTAAACAGACTTAGGCTGGCAGCACAGCAGGACAGCTCCTCCCTCGTGTGCTCCTCTGGCAAGCAGCCTGGTTTCAGTCCCAGTAGCCTCACCAAATGACTCACTTTCTTCTTGTCATTTCAGAGACTGGCTTTGATTAGTACACCATCCTTTACCAAGAGTTCAAAGAAACCATGAGTCACAACTGCTCATCCTTGAGTTCCACCTGCTCCCAGATTTTCCTCCTACTGCCCTCCAAAGGCCAAACCCCACCGCGGCCAGAGCTCCAAAGAGGTCTCAAATTGCCATCGCTCTTTTGAGGTTAATAAGCTTTGTCTACAGAAGGGCGGGGGGTTGTTTTTTTTTCTTAAATAGTCTATTGTCAAGTTGACTTACATATAACACCCAGTGCGCATCCCCACAAGTGCCCTCCTCCATGCCCATCTCCCCCCTACCCCCCCCACTCCCATCAGCCCTCAGTTTGTTCTCAGCATTCAAGAGTCTCTCATGGTTTGCCTTCCTCCCTCCCCGCAACTATTTTTCCCCTTCTTCTCCCCCATGGTCCTCCGTTAAGTTCCTCCTAATCCACCTATATGTGCAAACATATGATATCTGTCCCAGAAGGGTGTTTTGAAGGTGCATATTGCTCAGCGTTTGCTGAGATGATGAATGAATTTAGGGTCCTTATGGATTTAGGTTAGTGTGTGCAGGAGAGGGAAGACCGCAGTTGGAAACAGCAGTTTGAAGAGCCACTTTCAGAAAGGGCAAGCACAGTGGATATTGAATGGGAGGGGATGGGGTAGGAAGTGTACGGACGAAAGGTGAGAATGTTCAACAAAGGAAAGCCAAGCCCTGAAACCAAAACATAGCCTGAACCACCACTTCAAGGCTCCATTCAATTCTAGCTCTAGGAGGCATGACGGGTAAGAAACCACCAGCAACCTGGGCCACTTGCTCCATCTGTCTCTTGTGTGGATACCATTAATTTCTTCCCCAAGAAAGCACAGAGGTCATTGGACAGGGACAAACACCCTCAATATCCCTCCATCTGGTACTGAAGAGGTGCACAGGCACCATTCATTCATTTACTCATTCATTCATTCGGTCAGTCAGTATTTATCTCCTTCCTGTCCACCACCCCTGGAAAAAACAATCTTCCCTTGACTCTTTTCTCTTACACCTATTGCCCTACCTCCCACTTTTCCTATACTCCCTCCACATAATCTATTCTAATGTTAAATAGCTTAAATTCCCCATACAGTCCAAGCAGTTGAACTGAAAAAAGAAAACAGAAAAAAGAAGTGAAATAGATGTAAACTGAATACGCTCCTTGACATTGGCTTGTGACCTCTGGTCTGTATACTCGGTTTTCCATTTCCAAAGCCACAGTCACTCAACTCAAAATCTAAACTAAATCCAAAATCAAATGACTTTGCCTGAGGTCACCAGCAACTTCTCAGTTAACTGCCACATCCAAACTCTGTTTTCAGCTCTTAATGTATTTGACTACTCTGCAGCATTTGATGCTTTGGCCATGTCCCAAGTTCTCCAAACTTCTTTCGTGGCTTCTCAGACACAGCGGTCTCTCAGTTCTCTGATCATGCTTTCTCTGCCCTGCTGGCTTCTTCCCTGTAACACTATTTAGGTGGGTTTTCATGTCTTCTCACTCTCCCTGCTCTCCCAAGGTGACATCAGCCACCACTCTTATTCTGACAACTTCTATATCTTTATCCGCAACTCAGATTTTGTGCTGGACTCCAACCCTACATCCAGTTGCCCTTTGGACATCTATACACCCAAATGTCCCCAAGGGAACTTCTGTGTACCTCCAATATGGACCTTACTGTCTACCTCCACAGCCTACTTGCTCAGTCACCAGAGTTAGAGACCACCATATGTTTACTCCCCTAAGCCCGAAACTTTGGTATTATCTGCACGTTCTCCTCTTTGCAGGTCCTGGGGGACAGTAAGTTCTGTGCATTCTCTACCTCAGAAATGTCTCTTGATCTTGCTTCCTGTATCTCCTCTTGCCTTGTTCACCATCCAAGTTCAAAGTCAGCAGAATTTAATGGGACTTTATGACCTCTGTTCTCTCCAACCTATCCTCCAATATTGCCACTAGAGTTACCTTTCTAAAATGCAAAACTGGTCACAGCTATCCTTTACTCAAAACTTATTGATCTCTCAGTGCCTGCAAGATCAAATTTAAACTCTTGGGCCTCGACTACAACATATTTTATAATTCAGCCTTTGCCTAATTTCTGGTCTCATGAAAAGTGCAGGCACATCTCCCTTCAGATTACCTCATCCGCCTTCTTTCCCTTCCCAGGAGACCACAGTCCTGCTCGTTCCTCAGCAATGGTGTCATCATCCATACTCCACTCCTCTACTCCACCGCTTCAAGTTTAAGGTCAAATTTTAACTCCTCGGAATATTCCTTTAGCCTTGAGCAGATTGTTCAACTGCTCTGTCCTGTGTTCTCAGAATATAGCACGCATCAAGCGATAGTATAATTTGGGGGCATGTCTGTTTTCTCCTACTCCGGGCTCTCACAGACAGAAGTATTTCCTATCAGGAGTCCACTCCCTCTCTCTCTGACCCTCCCCTGCTCACGCTGTCTCTCTCTCTCTCTCTCCTAGAAATAAATAAAACATTTAAAAAAAACAAAAACAAAAACAAAAGCAAAAGGGGCGCCTGGGTGGCTTAGTCGGTTAAGCATCCGACTTTCGCTTAGGTCATGATCTCGCAGTTCGTGGGTTCGGGCCCCGCGTCGAGCTCTGTGCTGACTGCCAGCTCAGAGCCTGGAGCCTGTTTCAGTTTGTGACTCCCTCTCTCTCTGACCCTCCCCTGCTCACGCTGTCTCTCTCTCTCCTAGAAATAAATAAAACATTTAAAAAAAAAAAAAAAAAGGAGTCCACGCCCTGGCTGGCTCAGTTGGTAGAGCCTGCAACTCTCGATCTCAGGGTTTTAAGTTTGAGCCGCACTTAGATGTAAGAATTACTTAAAAATAAAATCTTGGGGGACCTGGGTGGCTCACTCACTGCAGCATCCGACTCTTGGTCTCAGCTCAGGTCATGATCCCAGGGTTGTGGGATCAAGCCCCATATTGCACTCCTCACTCACAAGTGCAGAGCCTGCTTGGGATTCTCTCTCTCTCCCTCTCTCTCTGCCTCTCTCTTATGCACACTCTCTCTCTGAAAATGAAAAAAAAAATACTTAAGAATAATAAAATAAAATGTTTAAAAAAAAGAAAAGAGTTTCATATCAGAGTAATCATTGTCTACCACAATGCCTAGTAGATAAATCATATCTACTAAATGTTAAGTGAGTGACTAAAAGGGAGCTGAATACCAGTAAATCGGCCAGAGAAGAAGCAGGAGCAGAATTATTTGTCTTCTTTCCCTTAAAGTACTGGCTCTCTTGGGACACCTGGGTGGCTCAGTCCCTTAAGCGTCTGACTTCAGCTCAGGTCATGGTCTCAAAGTTCGAGGGTTCAAGCCCACATCAGATTCTGTGCTGACAGCTCAGAGCCTGGAGCCTGCTTCGGATTCTGTGTCCCTTTCTCTCTCTGCCCCTCCCCCACTCACGCTCTGTCTCTATCTCAAAAATAAATAAACATTAAAAATTTGTCTTAAATATTAAAAAGATGGATACTCAAAAGTTGAGAATTAATTAAATTAATGCCTTTTATTTCTTCAACAGCATTCTTAGAGGAAGCTATTTTTAAATTGTTGTAAATATGATTTTTGATTGGTGAAAAAACACAGAACATAAAATGTGCCTTTGTGGGGGTGAGGGGTGGGTGACAGGGGTGGCCTTGTCTGGCTCAGGCAGTAGAGCACGCAATTCTTGATCTTGGGGTCATGAGGTCAAGAAGTCTAAGCCCACTTTGGGGGTAGAGATTACTACAAAAATTAAATAAGTAAACTTAAAAAAAAACATAAAATGTGCCTTTTTTAAACCACTTTTAAATATACGGTTCAGTAGCCACTATACACACACTACTCAGTGTAGTACACTGTAGTAACAGATTTGTAGTACTTTTTCATCTTGCTAAACCGAAATTCTGTACCTATTGAATAACACCTCCCCTTTCCACATAACCCAAGTCCCTGGCAACCACCTCTCTATTTTCTAAGAGTTTGAGAAACTGACTTTTTTTTTTTTTAACCTGTAAACTCGTGATGCTGAAGAATACAATGATACCAGTAGTTTGGTGACAGGGCCTGAAAACATACTAAAGGACCATCAGTTTTAGCCACCATTTCACTTTATGGTACAGAGTCAACACAGTGAAAAAGGCAAAGGAAGTCTAAATATTACTATGAAATAGTTTTGACCTCAGGGACCTCCC